TTTCGCTTTCCCCCGCCTGATCCGGTTTCATGGCCGCCATGGGCTTGTTAAGTGGACCCTTTCCGGCACAAAAGTCTGTGGCAAAACGCCGCAGTGCAGCGGACACATCCACCGGATCGATAAGCCGAATCTCCGGTTCCTCCTCTTCCTCCTCCGCCGCCAACGGCCTAGCTGTCTGTGCGGCCGTGCCTTGACTCGCATTTTGATTCTGGTAGGGGGGAGAGAGAGATACGCTTTATTTTGAAAACGTCATTCCAACATTTTCAGCAAAAAACACCCTCCATTCTAAAACACTAAATTCAAGCGCACAAACAACACTGGGATATCAAAAGTACTTCATAATCGCAAACAGACAGATAAATAAATGTCATAGGAAAAGTCGTCAAATATAGGCCAAATTGGACTGCTTTCGAAACAGCGCTAGCGTTCTGACCTTGTGCCCTCATGACCTCATTGTACTTCAAATAAACAAAGAGTGGTAAAAATCGGTTTATAATGGATGAAGTAGGCCAACCGATGTGTACATAAGAAAATTTACATGCGAATAGAGTGAGGGAAAAAATGGCGGCTCAAATTGAAAAGTCCGCACAGTTGCGGAACAGACAACGAAAGGCAACTTGTCATCCGATGTCCAGAAATGCTTTGCCCTCTGATAGCACACTCACAGTTTCTAGGGTAATATATATTTCACAATTTACTTTACAGGAAATTTTCCTTTGACCCCTTAGGACAGCTTCTAGCCTACTTGGCATTATATGAGTGACATTCTGGAGGGGATCTTTTTCCAGGCATCCGGCAGGGATCTCTCAAATCCGGCAACGGTATTAGGAGTAGGCAGTTTCTCGTCAACTATATTACCAAGAAGTGACCATAGATTTTAATTAGATTCAAGTCAGGACTATTTGCTGGCCACATGTCTTACCTCCAGAAACGTGGAATTTTCTCTGGCCGCAACCCCTGGGTCTTCAGAGCTGTATAAACTGTGGTTCCGTCCTGCATACAAATAATCTTTGATATGCCCGGAACAAGTTTATTCTCAACTTATGACCTGCTCACACTGTATTTTTTTACCAACCTTTTAAACAGGTTTTGCTTTAGAATCTCCTCTCTATAGCATTCACCTTTCACTCTTTGACCCTGTGGCACAATATGGAGGTCAGAGGGCCCTCCAAAGGACATAACTACCCACATCCTGACTATAGGATTGAAGTTTGGAACTTTACGATTCTCAACCATTTTAAGACTTGGAGCGCAAATAACGCCATTTTTGTGCTTGGCTGATGCAACACTTCATACGAAGATTAGTTGGAGAAGACTACTTGTTTTCAATCATCTACAGTCCACGTCCTGACCATATTACAGAAGATCATCCTATCTTTTATTTGTTTTTTGTTAGTCTGGGAATTTTGCTTCTGTGATCGGCGATAACACGGAAACTTTCATGCAAATACCCATGCACACTGGGCTTAGAACTGCTCAGGCCTTTAGCATTCAGTTTATTTGCGAGTTTTTGGGCTTTGCCTTGGTTTACTAATGCACTTTGCCATAACGATCTTTTATATTCTCCCCAAAATTTTAGGTGTTCCAGAGTTCTTCTGTTTTGTGAGGTTACCTGTCTGCTTGTAGTGTGACCATCAATACTTGACCGTCCCGATTGATATACTTACGGCTGTAGCGGCCCCCACTCGACTTATCCCGGACTTTATCGCACCCATAGCTCGACCCTCGTCCTTTGAGCTTCGCGCCGTCAGGAGGCCAGACACCGCTTTTGTGCAGGTTTAGAGTTTTCTGCTATAGCTGTACTGCACAGTAAACTTTGGGTATAAAGTTTGTTCATGAAAATTAATCACCAACCAGCGAAGTTGAGGGATACATGAAAATTATCGCTGAATATTTAATTAAAAAAATTATCCTACTTTTAAAAGCCGCGAATAATGTTTGGACATATGCGTTGAAGATAAAAATGGGTCTGAGCCTTCTGACTTACTGTAGTTAAAGTGGTGGGCTCCGCTTCAGGCTCGGCATGGCTGCTTGGAGGCCGGCTAATTGAGACTGAATTGGCGGTCCCGTCTACGGTATTGGTCGTCTCATTGCCCGTCTGTGAGGCGTCTCCTGTGCGTCAACGCAAAAGACATTATCAGCCTTAACAGCCAGTACCTGAGTCATTTTTTGCAACGCTGTTAGGAGTCAGCCTAACCAAATCGCTTGCGGGCCATCCTGACGAGTCGCTCCCACGCCACGGTATTGGTCCGTCCGCATACAGTGCACGTGCTGATGACACGCTAGCTGTGCCCAACCGCAAAAGACTCTACCACGCCAGTCGGATGAGTCAGAAAGCCAACAGAGTCGCTACCCACTTGAGGCCACAATCTGATTGGTCCAATCTTGTACTCTTTGCTTGCCATAGGTAGGCTGTACTAGGCATGCTAAAAGACTTCTCCTTTTGTGCCCTTCTTGTTATGTCCTTCCTAGGGGACTCACACAAGGCGTAATTGGACGGTGACATCTCGGCTTTGCTAACATTACAACGGATTTTGGCGCTTTTTGTGTGCTTCCGAGTTCGTTTATTCTGTAGATGGTGTTGGTTTGCGTGTGGCACACTTTAGACGATGACATTGTACAACATCCGCCATATCCTTGGAACTAGTTTCATCACTACTACGGCTGACATCGCCGAACCACTCAATTGTGGGAGAGAAGATAAAACACAATATCGATGGCACAATCTTTTATACCCGTAAGATCCAAACCTTTTCTCAAATGACAAATTACTCTGCTGTCTAAATTAAGTAGCGTGAAAATAATAAGGACCTCAATAATCTGCCGTGTGAGATACTGTAAAATGGGTCTGGAATGACATGTCAGAGTTGCCTCAATTTCTAAAGCCTTCTAACTGCGTAAAACTTGGCAGAGTCTGGTTCGCATCACTTCTTTTCGGATCAGTTGATCTCGCATTTTCACACTCAAACCAGACTACGACTTCAACTGTTGTCTTTTAAGGTGGGCCACAGGCGGGTTGACCGCGCTTAGTTTGTAGAGAACTCTGAGTAAACAAGTTAAACTATGCAGGGGACATTGTGAGTCTCAGCACCCTTCACATCAACCTCTCAACCTCAGATCATCCGACACATGACCACCCTAGTAGCACGTGCAGATCAAGTGGACAAAATCCGGTATGTGTATGCGAACTTTTCCAGCAGGAGTCCATGATGGAATCT